GAATCAGTGCCGGCGTGGGGCTGATTATTGATGGATCCAGGAACGTGGCGGCCGAGGCAGATGACACGCGCCGCGCGGCATGGGGCGGACGGCCGACGGAGTGAACGGAGACCCGCTGCCAGGCACTACCGGGAGCCGCGTCCAGGCACCGGAGCCGCCCGCCCCTGCAGCCACGAAGCCGGGCGCCTAGAGGAAGAAGACGACCCGTGGCCGGGCGCCGCCGGGACCTGCAGGCGGACGCCACCGGTGAGCTGCGGCAGGGCGCCGCCGCCGCCGCCCGGCGCGCGCACGCCGACCCGTGGGAGGGCGCCGCGGCCTCCCCGCGCCTATAGGAAGGCTGCGCCCGCACCTTGGAGCCGCGACCGGGAGGCAGCCCCGCGCCCTGGAAGCAGCCCCTCCCTGCGCCCGAACCTGGAGTCGTGGCCTCCCCTCCCTTTGGTGCTTCTGCAGCGCCGCCACTGGAAAAGCCGCGCCCAAGCCCGATGTGAGCGACGACGCCCTATGCATTTGAGATGAGGAGATAAGGATAAGGGGCACTATGGTCATTTGGCCTTTGTTTTTCAGATTTAGAATTTTTTTTAATTCGTTTAATCCATGTCCATCCGACGGACGTCAGAAACAAGGGCAAATAGACCGTTCAGTTCAAAATAACAGGGGTAAAAACACAAAGTTGAAAAAGAAGTGTAAAATCACAATTAGCTTACTAGACAGGGGTAAGAACACCATTTTCCCAAGAGAAAAAATCTTCAACTTCCAGCAACAGAAAGGTGAAACCATTCTAGAAGTATGGGAACGCTTCCAAGAATATATTTCAGATTGTCCTCGTTATGGAATGGAGGACTGGTTGCTCATGCAAGATTTCTACCATGGATTAACTAAGAAAGCTCATGAACAACTTGATGCTACTGCTGGAGGAGCATTTATGTCACTCACCCTTGGAAAAACTGAAGCTCTCATGGAAAAGATAGCCTCTAAGTAAGGCTGGTCTCAATATAGCATTCAATTATACAAGAAGAGCGAAGAAGCACAAGAAGAGGTGTGTACACTATCAACCAAGATGGAGGTATTGCTAAATTGGCTTGATCAGTGAGCCAATTATAAGAAGGATCGACAAGCCATCCAGGACACTTATGACTCACAAATCACGTGCCACATCTGTGGAACCAATGGGCACTTAGGAAATAACTGCCTAGAAACACAACAAGATGTAAACTTCATCATCAACAATTCTGGTTCACAGCAACAAAGACAAGGGTGGAGTCAACAACAACAACAGTCGAAATATCAAGGCAAGTACCTAGGGAATTGCTATAATTATCCTAATCAGCCATCCTTGAGAGATTTAATCTTAGAAGAGGCTAAGATTAATGAGAACATTTCTAAAAATCTTGCTTCTAATGATACAATTTAGAAAATATAAATACTAAAATGGAGAGTTTTCTTCTGCTATAAAAGACCAACTTAGCTATAATAAAAAGATAGAATCACAATTAGCTCAGCGGACCGCTGCTCTGTCTTTTGCCACTAACCTTGAAAAAGTCAACGCCATAATGACAAGAGCTGGTAAATCTACTCGTGATCCTCCATATCCAACAAGGACAGGTAAGACACCAGCAGTACAGCAGGAGAAGAAGAACGATGAAGTTGAAGAAGTTGAGCCACAAGAGCAAGAATTGCTGCAAGATTTTCATGACACCAACCTCCTACAGTTTTCGCACAAAAATCGAAAAGCCAAAGTGGATGAACAGTTTGGTAAGTTTGTAGAGGTAATTCAAAAGTTATATATCAATATCCCTATACTAGATGCCATACAGGTACTTACCTATGCGAAATATCTCAGAGACATTCTAAACAACAAGAGACTACTGCCCACCACTGAGGTAATCAAGTAAATGGAGGAGTGTAGTGCGGCCATCCTGAACACATCACTTGTAAAGAACAAGGATCCAGGATGCCCCACTATAGAGTGTTCGATCGAAAACCAGAACTTTGAGCATGCACTATATAACCTTGGTGCCAGTGTCAGTGTCATGCCCAAAGCCGTCTTCGACAAGCTCAACTATTCAACACTCACGCCAACATCAATGTGCCTGCAACTAGCCGACCAATCAGTCCGCTACCCTACAGAAATCACCAAGAATATCCCAGTAAAAATAAGAATTTTCTTTGTACCAGTCGATTTTGTGGTGCTTGACATGCAGGAGGACATAAAGACGCACCTCATTCTTGGGAGGCCCTTTCTAAGCACCATAAATGCACACATTGATGTCGGAGCTAGAGAAATCCGATTCCATATCTATGGGAAGGAAGAGCGATTTGCCTTCAAGCCAAGACTGGAACAATACTCTAAATTGGTGTGGCGTGAGAAGCAAGTACAACCATCAAGGTCTCCATCTTTGGTACCGATTGATGCACCCGAAGAATGATCAAAGACTAGAGAAGTCCAGTTCGGCGCACATAAAACCCCAAACCCTCGCCGGGAGATAAAATCGGTAGTCATCCATATTTACTTTCTATATTGCATAAATTTATTTTTACTTTAGCATATTTACTTTTCAACACTTACATTAGAAAATAAAATAAAATTTTCATTATTGCATTATAAAATCTTTAGGCCCCATGTGAATAATTTTTATGGTGTGTAAAAATCCGCAAGAATATTTACTGTGGAGGTGTAAAAATAAAAAAAATACCATGCATACATCTAGTTATATTTTATAGCATCATAAAATATTTTCTGCACACTATATATATATACTGTGTATACAAAAGAAATACAGGTATACGGACCCATAGACACCCGTCCCCATGACTAGGCTGGCCGGCCTGCTGCTGTGCCACTCTATAAATTGGAGGCTCCTAGCTGCTCTCTGCCTCCAAATTTTGAAATCAACTCTGTAGTTTAGTAATCCTATTAGCAAAAGTGTTGCAGAAATTTGGAAAATCCAAAAATATTAAGGGTAGAAGTTCTGCTAAAATCTTGCTTAGAGAAATTATAGTCAATTAGAACGACTAACCCCTGGATGACTAACTCTTGGACGGCTAACCGCTGACTACGTTATTTCTTAACCCTGCCGTTCCACGAGTTTTGTTGTTATGTTAATTTTTGTAGGATGATAAACAAACTGAAGGACAAGTTCACCCATTCGCAGTCATCCCCCTCATTGAGGAGTTCATCCACCAGGGCGAGTTCTGACATGCAGGTAGATGTTTGATACCCTAGAGCCAGAGCACCACCACAGTCGCCATCATTTACGAACAACGTCCTGCTGGAGGAATCACATATCCACTGGCAATCCAAAGCGGAGAAGGAGGCTTTCAAGAAGCTGAAATCTCAAAGGTTTATACACACAACTGTGTACGATCCTCTCCTACTGCAAGGGACAGGTATGGACGTTGAGTTTGATTTCATTTTCCAATTTGTAGGTTGGGATGGTTTCTGGAATATCACTGAGCATGATTCTAGACTTTTGACGTTGGAATTTTTATGCACATTGCAAATCACTGACTCTAGGGTCAAATTTAGATTTTTCGGGAAAGAGTATTCTTCTCCCGGGAAGGATCTAAGTTTGCTCCTAGGATCAAATTTAGATCATGCTTTGCAAGACTTTGACAAATTAAAATTCTAGAAGGAAATATCGGGGCATAATGAATTTTATCGACCCCATACCAATGACATTCAACATCCCACACTTTGCTTCATGCATAAATGGCTAGGATTTACCATGTTTCCTAGACCTTATACTCGCACTGTGAGAATGGATGACCTCAAATTGCTTTATGACATGGTGAAAAGAATAAAAGTTTCACCCGTTAAATTTGTGATGCACCAATGGCTGGAGGTTTTCACTCTCACGGGTGATGTCGAATGTACCTCTTTGGTCACTCGGATTGCCCAAAACTTGGGATTGTTGAATAATGCTTTGATCACTTTTATTGATGAGGGGCGCTTGTACATTGATTTCGAATACTTCCGTCAAGCCCAAATACTTAAAAAGAGAGAGGATGGAAGGATTGTCATCATGTATCGTGGTTATTCAACTGAGATTCCGTTACCTAACCGGAATCTCGGTTTATATACTGTCGACTCTTTCACTTTTGATTTACAGGCAAGGAATGCGTCACCTCGCAGGAGTGCATCCGCGAGACTGTCTCAAGCACCTCGGCCTCACTACTATGGCACTGATCCGATACCTGAAGGACCAGCCTACACTAGCTATGTAGGCTAGGACCAAGCGGGAACTTCCCGTGGGTTCCAGGCCGAACATGCTAGTTGGGACCATCCATCACCTGACCAATCTGAAGGCTCTTGGCAACAAGCTTTGAGTGAGCATTGGCAAGACGGGAACTATCACAACTACCAAGGGCAGACCTATGAAGAAACCTAGAGTGAGCACCAGGGAGGACGCATGTCCTACTCTACCCGGGAGTATCATGATCAACACCTACCTCATGAGACACCGATGGTTTAGATCTAGAGTGCATAGATCGGGGGTGGGGGTTGCTCGACGGGGTGGAGCGGGGGAGCGAGAAAACTGTGTTGCAAGCTATTATTGATAGGGAGTGAATATAAGGTTGAGCCAGCGCTGCGGGGTTTGTTTTGTTCCTATGTGACAAACAGAGAGGTGTGCAGGCATGACAACTATCACATGCATATTCAGTTAGCCTTAACAAAAAGATCACAATATAAATGCATATAATTAGATATTTAATTTGGTAATCAAATTCATATCTTAAACAACATACTATAATTCACATATACATAATATATACAAGCAGATGTCATATATCCAGGTATGCATACCATCATGACATATACCACACATGCAACAATGATATGGTGCATATACTAGTACATGCATACAAACATAGCTTATCGACTAGTTATTACAGAAATATATAAACCATGCGTTATTTCACAAAATGCAATGCAGAGATAGATATAACATGCATATTTATGCGAATTCAAGTCTTCGCCTCCACCCTCCATGTTTACTTCTTCAATACTTATACTTCCATATGCCATCCATCTCTATGGTGGTGGTCACGGACCCTAGGCCGGTCACGGACATCATCGACGAGATCTCAGCGGCATTAGCCTGCTCATCGTTCTGCAACACCATCGAGGACGGCCTACTCTCAGGCGCAGCAATATCGAAGTTCCCAGCGCCAGCTGCTCCCATGTCCATATGGTCAATAGCTTCAATGCCCATTTGGCCTACTGGTGCCCCTATGCCCATCTGGCCTGCTGGTTCCCCCATGCCCATCTGGCCAGCGGCTGCCCCCATGCCCATCTGGTGGTAAAAGTTCATCACTGGTGGCATGGCCATTGGATTGTCGAACAGGGCACCGTTGATCTGGAGCCCACCAGCGCCACCGATACCTGCCATAGGCGGCATCACCAGTGGCATCCCCACGCTAGCGTTGGGGTTGGGGTAGTAGGGGGGCACTGGGTCCATGCATGGCAAAGTCTGGCAGGATGGGATATTGCATTGGCATGGGCACGGGTTGCGGTAACTGCAGCGACATGGGGATGGGCATGACCGGGATGTTGTTCTGATTCTGATCAATCTCAGCACCGGGCATGGCCACTTGGTACACTGGTACAGTCATCTTCCTTATCCCAGTGGTCTTGTGGAACACACGACAGACCACCCAGTCACCCACTCATCCTATGCGAATTTCATTTGTAAACCAGAAGCGAAATCAGATTTGGGTAAGCAAATAAAGCAAGTAGCATATTGACATACATCATGCATGCTAGTGTTGTTACCACTACCACGCACCTTAGAAGCTGAAGCTGAAGCTTTCATGGCCATGGCGACATTGGCGGCTAAGCGCTAGATGCAGATGTTGGGCCAGGGAGGCTGCCGCTGCCTTCGAGCCTATACTCGTGCATCACCCAGTTTGTTTTGTTGCCCCTGGGAGCCCTGCCTTCTTAGAAGACAAGCGTCTTCTTCATGCCGATGAGCAACACCACCCCTTCCCCTTTGGTAGGCTTGTATACCTCCTTGTCCTTGCTGGTCGCCTTCCAATAACCAGCTTCCGTGGCCCTGTTTGCCCTTAGCCCCATCGGGTACTTGCGGTCCTTCTGTGAGAAGAAGTACCACTCTTTCTCATTCATTTTTGCCTCCCCTACAGCATGCGATCGAATTAAGCAAAATATATTAGACCACATCTCGATCACTAGCATAGCAGCATGCATCCACTGCACGAATCAAACAATAGCAAGGCATATATGCATCTACAGTACAGATCGAGGCTGCTTGATACATACTCGGGAGATCCCATGGCTCAGTTTTGTTTAGGTCGACCTCCCCGATGGCGCAGATGAAGTCCCTGTTGCGCACCTTTTCCGTGAGGTAGTCATTTACAATCTCAAAGTCACTCGGATGGAAGCGGAACCCTGGAGGCAGGTCAAGGTCACCGGTACGGACAATATTCATCTCTTCCGGCTACAGCTGCTGCTGGTCCGCCATCGTTCTCTTGCACCTTAACTAAAATTAGAACCAGGAAGAGCCAACAAATGCATCAAGCATCAAGGAATAATTCGCATATGGTACTAAAAAACAACGAAGAATACATACATGCACAAATTCTTCTTGACCTGCCGGTAAGTCTAGGTCTCTCGCTCGCTCACCAAGACGAATTGAGGATGAGTTGTTCTGGTGCAGTGAGCAGGGCACTGCAGCGCAGCTTAAATAGACAGGAGGCGTGTTCACAAGAGCCACTTTCCGTTGAAGCCTCATATCCTCTGCTCGGCTCCCGTCTTTTCCGGTGGTGTCTATTTCCACTGGGCGTTGGACTCTTGTTCTTTCCAACTGTGCCATGCTTGTCCTTGCGCACCCGAGCTCGCTTTCCCGCCAGAGCCTCGGCTGCTGCTGGCAACAGGTGCCCGGGTTTTGGAATGTCTCTACCTGTGTGCACCATGCAGCCTGCCGTGACCTCCCTCCGGTTTGCCTGCCCTGGCCTGTGATTCCCGTGGACGTATGCTTATGCACGCCGCTCATGCATGTCGGTCTGCTCCAGCCGTCGCCTCGTCTGCATGAAGATGTAAAAGAGGGCTACGCGGTTGGCAACCAGACGCGTAGAGATGTGCGTGCGTCAGTGGCCGAGGGATGCTGTGGCTATATGCTACAGGCCCTTTGTGATGCAGGCTACGGACAGGCGGGACAACGCAGGGTCCACATTCCCTCGCATGCGGTACGGGGGCTGCTGTAGCCATAGGCATCCATCAGGGACAACTGGGCCAGTGACGGGTCATCGTGATCTAGTGCTGATAGCGTCGTGTTCTTCACTACTCGGTCAGTTTTTGGTGCATGGAGAAAAACGTGCATGCACGCGGTGTTGTGCCGATTCGGTGTGCTATATGTGGCTGTGTATGTATGATGTGTCTATCTCTTGGACGACATGATGTGTACTCCATGTGCCCAATGTCATAAAAAACCGTGCATGTATCGACGTTCAACTGATAAGTGTGCGTCTGAGAGCGCCAGCCCTGGAAACCATGGTCAGTTAGCCTGTTACTAAGCCAGCCAACGGACAGGAAGCGGCGACCCCTTGATTTATGCATGCATGCAAGGGATATTTCCTTTTCAATTCCTTACTTTCAAAGGAATTAATTTAGTAAAGCTCAGTTCTGATCCATATCTATAACACAACCGTCCAATTTATACAAGATCAAGTACGGCTGTCCCCGTTTAACACGTCGACGCGCACATACTTTCACTTATATAAACTGGATAGTCCACCGAGTGTCACGAAGGACCTCGGTAAATCAACATCATAAACAAGATGGCATAATTAAGCAAATACGCATCACATACACAGAGTTACAGTGAAAATAATATTACAAATGGGTTCACAAATAATAGTACAAGTTTGGGTTTTAAAACCGGTTAAAGGAAAACAACATAGTTTTCAAATGATTACATCAATATAAGTTCCAAATACATTGATAGCATAAGTGACCTCCTCTGATAAAAACATATAGATGAGAAATAAATATAGAGTCACCGAGCGCACCAGCGGTTAGCCACCATCTTCAGCAGGCCGAGAACTTCACCTGCGACATGGTGGGATAAACCCTGAGTACTCGAATGTACTCAGCTAGATTTACCCGTCATAAACCAGAAATAAAGTGACACCAAAGAGTATACAAGACTTTATAGGTGGAGCTAGCTTGACAACATTTTGCATAAAAGCCACAAGTTGAACTATACATTTTATAATTCGGTAACCAAGTTAATTATAGCTATTCATCTCTAGATTAACAACTAATTTATGCCAAACATATGAAATATCATTTAGTAACATGCAATAGTAACCATAGCCGGTGTAATATTTCCATATTCATCATAACCATCAAATTCCATCAATTAATACTACGTTGTCGCTGCTTTGTCAAGTTCTCACTGTCCAGGAGAGACAGCGACTCGAATCCATTCCAACCAACTGAGGAGTTATTCCTAACACAAACCTAGACATACCTGCACCAAGATAGTCTTAGGTCACCTTTGGTACAACTCAGGTACAATCGTGGGTCCGAGCAGCGCCGCACCCTCAGGGATACTACTAGTCTGCTAGAAAGTTTATGCCCGGCCTGCCCTTTGACTCACACCACTGGCTCCCCGCACATCCTTACTTCCTCCAGTGTGCGCGCTTTGACTTACTGAGTCCCAGCCTGAGTTGAGCTACTCGGCTTCACGGTCGGAACTACTTATCCGGCCAACTAAGTGCTAGGCATACGTTCAATATGACATGAGGACATACAGCGAATCGGTCCTTAACCGACATAGACGAGGATAAATAGGCACCAAGACCTTCATGCCTTGTTGCTTCTCTATCACAATCCTACCCGGTCTCCTTTTATTTATCAACACATGGTTATTTCCACGATAGCAAATATAGCCAACCGTGCTTTGGTATCCACCTATATCTCGCAGGTGACAGGAAATCACCCGACTTCTACCAGTCTAAGCATTGCTAAGCATATATTCGATCCTGGACCTACTTAGGGTTCAGGGTATATTTCTAGACAAGGTAGTTCTATACATCAAGTGGTTCCAATCAACTATTATAACCTAATGCATTAAACATAAAGGACTCAAGTGATATTTATAAAAACATAGGAGGCTTAAAATGCTCCGGGACTTGCTTGGGATCCGATATAAGTCAGTTCAGTTAGCTCGCACCGTCATTGTGACATCTCTAGTCTAAGCACTTGCTTAGTCCTTCCATCTTCGGGATAGGTCCACCAACACCGTCTTCTGGTTCGACTCCATCATCACGTCCTTTCACGTTGTGCATCTAGCGTACCTAGATGAGATGCAACAATGCAAGTGCATGAATGCGAAGAATGAAAATATGAGATGCCTCACATAAAAGTATTTAAGATGAGTAGAAGGTTACACCGAACATATATAAGCACTCCACATTACTTAATTAAACATCCCACAACCTATCATGCTAGGATAGCAAGGAAGATAGCACCAAGCATGACACAAGTTTCACATGGTTTTAGGTATATTAACTTTACACCATCAAAGGCATGAGCCACACTTAACAACACACAAAGCAAAGCAAAGCAAAGTGAAGCAAACAATTTTAGGTACAAATACAGATTCTGAACAACAGCACCATAGTCAATTGTTTTAATCATAACCAGAGTTATCGGCATACAAAAAGTGTGATTCAAGACTTTCTGGAAAGCTAATGAAATTATCTAAAACTTTGTTATTAACACCAAAAGCTGATTCAATAAATAACAAGATCAAAATACTTCATGAAACAGAGCTTATACAACTAACTTCAGAAATGCATAACTGGAGTTCTAGACATTCAGAAAACAAGATTCTTAATTTTATGGAAAGCTTATTAAGTTATATATAACTTTATAAATATCATTTTAAGATTATTCTACAGCTAACAAGATCAAACAACACTAAAAAGGCATCTCTGTCTAGATTTAGATAGAAATCTGCCATTAAACTTTGTTAAGCTATAACTGGAGTTCTAGAACACCAAAAGTAGTGATTTCAAACATTTTAGAAATCTTAGAAAAATCACTACAACTCTCCTATTATCACCAATACATGATTCCATGTTGAAATGAGCCAAACAATACAATCATTCAGATCTATCTAGAGGACATGTGCAAAAACCTAACAACAAACTTCTAAAATCTATAACTACTAAACCATCAGGCCTAAAATAATGAAATTTTAGGACAATCAAGATAAGAAAATTATCTACCACTTTTGTATTCACCATATTTACAAAAAACATCATTTGATTCACAAATTTATCATCACAACAGAAAATGCACATGCAGCCATTTCAGAATGTAACAATTGATGTTTCACTTGTTTTGCTAACAAAGAGCATGCACAAATGAGCCATTCAAGAATTTCAACCACCACTAACATACTCAGCAACACTTTATTGAACACCAATCACTCAAAGCATCACCAAATACAATTACAAACTTTATCTACAATTATGCTTTTATTAATCCTTTCTCCTAATAAACATATATATAATTTTAGTGATATATGACAACAACTAGTTTGGGGCTGAGATTTATATGAGTGGTAGATGTTATCAAAACATTGTTAGTGCACGAATTTCACATGCTCAGGTTTTATAATTTAATTACTATAAAAAAGACAAATTGTTATTGTAGGAAAACATTTAAAAGAAAGATAAATCTAAAGATCATCATTTTCTATAAACACATAGCTATATTATATGTTATTATGGTATCATAACATCATACAAAGGTAGTGGAACCACATTTTCCATTTTTACACCTACATAAAAATTATAACTTATTTAAAACCATTTATCAAGCATTAATCAAGTTAAATCAATAACTCAACCATATTGGATCTAATGAATATGACATTTTTACCACAGCACACATATAGCATCATTAGCCTACCATAAAAATTTCACAACAATTGGAGCAACACAACTTTAGAAATGAAAATAACAAGCAAAACAAGCTAAAATTGCCTATTTAACAAACTTAAATCAAAACATTACAAAATAGTACACAACTAGCCTATTTAATGTTTTTATTAGCTAGATCATGTTATCACAAGATTAACACAACTAGAACTACCATTTTTGAACTTCTATAACTCAAGATATGCATCCGACAACTTAAAAGGATTTTTAAAAGCACTTTGCAAGAATAAATAAAAACAGCAGAAACTTTCTACTAACACATATCATAAGATGACTCTACTGTGTAGATATACTCACAAGGATTCTAAAAAGTCCTTATTTGCTATTTTATGATTTTTCTACAATTTATTATGATTTTCCAAAGTTTTAGCCATAAAAGAAAAACAAATTTGCACCGAGGACCCTGCACTTTCATGAAAACAGATTCCAACAAACAGGTCCTTCTAGGCACTATTCAATTGAGTCATAGACTTTG